TCTATCTATCTATCTCTATCTCTCTCCTTTTTTCTCAGGAGCTCCTTCAATCTTTCCGTTCAGCCTTCCGTCAGTCACTTAAGTAAACAATCACTCCATCCCGTGTATTTTCCCCAAGTGTGTCCACTACATTCCCCGCTCTGTGTCCAGTCTCCTTCACTGAGTGACCACCATGTTTCAGAGCACAACGCCACTGTCCTTGAAACCATTCTAAGGACAGTACAGGAACTCCACACGGAGAGTCTAAAGAGCAACAGACGGATGTCGTGCCTGGAGATGACAGTGAAAAGTCTGGTGGACAGGGCCTCTCCAAGCCCTGGAAGCCCCACGGCCGCCCAGACCCCCGGTACCTCTGAGTTGTCGGCCAAGGAGGAAATCCTAACAGAAATTCTTCACACCTCCCATGATTTAAAGTCTAAATTGGATAAGGGGTTTGGTGACCTTCTTTTCCAGCAACGTACACACCACCGTGACGTCACTGCTTCCCTTCAAAACACCAAGGCTTTGGTGACGTCACAACCTGGTAAAACGACACACGATGTCTCCGCTGAAATAGACAACCTGTCGAAAAAAATCAACCAAAATAGCGCAAAGATCCAAGACTTTAGTTCAACAATCGCCCGTCTCATAAATATAACCACTTTCTCCAATACAAAAACAAAACAAGAATTAGATAGGCTATGCAAATCTGTGAATGACACACAGGCACGACTGAAGGAGCTTCGCGACACATCCAGGAAACAAGTAGACTCACTGGGGAGCATACGGCAGGATTTTGACACGAAGGGGCGGGTTTTGAAACTGCTGAGGGCAGACAGTAGATGGGTGATTGACCAGCTTATCGCCGAAGGACAGTTAATCCGAGAGGTGGTACTGAAAAAAAGACACGCGCTCAAAACGTACTCGTGTGACTTCTTCATCACAAACTTTAAGACTTGGGTGGGAATGGGGCAACATCTCTTCAGCCGGCTCTGGTATATAGACCAGGCCCAGACCTATGTGAAGGGTTGCGTGATGTTTAGTGATGACAAGACAATGAGCGTGTATCTGGTTCATGGACGGTACCCACGCACTGTGGGTGTGGCGGGCCGGACTGGGTCAGACGTTAGGGTAAGTGTGGCCGCGGTGAGAGAGATAGGGACAGGGGACAACTGGGAGCTGGGGAGTGGGGTGATGAGTACTGATGAGACGAAGATCGGCACTCAGAACGACGGCTGGATAAGTGTCAGTGGATGTCTTGTGAACAAGTCCCTGGCTTGTGATGAGCTGTTCAAACGCGGGTTTGTGACTTGGGACAAAGTTCTTCTCCGTTATACCATCACGGTACAGTAGTGGGTGATAGAAGAAGTAAGTGTCGGGGGAGAGGAGATGTAGACAGACAGACAGACAGACAGACAGACAGACTCTTAGATTGTAATACACGAGCAGGCCGACAAACCTGTCTGTCTCTCCGTCAGGCAGGAGAGTTACCAGTCGACCACCACATGACCATAGTTTTAGTGTATCATTCAGTCAGTCAGTTAAGCAAAAGCTCCAACGCTAACTTCACCTTTCTCAGGAGCTGAGTCAGTCTTTCTGTGGGCTCATCTGTCAGTCACTTAGACAATCACTCCCTCACCTAGCAGACAGTTGTCAACACGTAACCAAGCAACCATGTAATCTATCACACACACACACACAAACACACACACACACACGCACACACACACACACACACACACACACACACACACACACACACTAGCTGGGAGTAATTGCAAGGGTCGGACTAAT